TATACAAACTAACAGAATATTTAGAGAGATCTAAGAGAATATACAAACTAAGAGAATATTGAGAGAGTGCTGAGAGAATATATACAAACTAATAATAAGAGAATATTGAGAGAGAGCTGCGAGAATATACTTACATGGATATTGAGAGAGAGCTGAGAGAAAATATCAAATGCTTGAGAGAGCTCAGAGAATATACCCAATGCTTTGAGAGAGAGCGACAACTTTAAGACAAATTTACGTTGAAGAGAGAGAAGGAAATACTTTAGGGTTAAATGGAAATTCGGAAAATTTTAGAATCCGGTCAAAAATTTCAAAGGACTGAGTTTATTAAAGACGACAGTAAATACAACCCAGTAGTCGTAACGATGGTTATGTTACATTTACGACGTTGTATTGTGTTTTGACATCGCCCATACAAAAACCGACGTCTAAAATATTAAAAAATTAGCTTTGGTGTGCGTTTCCTGGGATTCGAATGCGCGTATTGACCAAAAAGAGCAAAAGCAAACCCGCGTCTTTTCAATAAAACCTAAACTCTAAACCCTAAACCCTAAATTTTACAATAATTATAAAAAAAAATACACAAGTACGAGAAAAATGAACCAAAAATTGCTATGGACTCCTTACAACAATGCGTTCTATATTATTAGGCTAAAATTTATATTAAAGAATTTTCAATTTTATGACCACCAATGGATCACATAAACCTTAGGGTTATGTAATGGAAAGTAGTAATGACTATTGTGCTTTGTCTCTAAATCATTTTGACATTATATTTTTTAAAGATTTAGGGGAGATAAAATCTTCCAATGAGTGCATAGTAGTTGTCAGTTTATTTTGGAATTTGTTTTGAAATTATTATGAATATTGGGAATAAAATATAAAAGTCATACAAAAATTGAATACAAAAGTACATAACTGACGTTGCATCAGTTTACAACAACGTTAAGTAACACATGACGTCGTCCGAGTAAACATTAAACGTCGCAATGTAATAACTGCCGTGTTTAGTCATTTACAACGTCAATTACTATTCTGATGATGACGTTGTTTATGGATACAACGTCACTATTTAACCTGTAACGGACGTTGTATATCTCTTTTTTCTTTTTTCGTAGATTTCAGTTTTTTAAAGAAACTGATGTGTATATCAACCTTAAATAACATTTTTGAGAAATGTCGTCGATGTATTGTTTCCCGCTATAATAAGACGGCGGTGGTTTATATATAAGAAACGTGTAAAGATGAATGAGACGTCGGATTTTGGGAATTAATTTACATTTTTATGATTTATTTTCATTTTAGTTCATTAACACATTTATATTTTATACAACCAAAAAAAAAAAATCAGAAACAACAATATATTTCATTTGATTTTTTTCATGAATGTTCAAATAATTACTAAAAATATGTTTATATACATTGTCAAAAATTTAAAGATTTAGGGGAGATAAAATCTTCCAATGAGTGCATAGTAGTTGTCAGATTATTTTTTGGAATTTGTTTTGAAATTATTATGAATATTATGAATAAAATATAAAAGTCATACAAAAATTGAATATAAAAATACATAACCGATGTTGCATCAGTTTACAACGACGTTAAGTAACTCATAACGTCGTCCTAGTACACATTAAACGTCGCCATGTAATAACCGCCGTGTTTAGTTATTTACAACGTCTATTATTATTCTGATGATGACGTTGTTTATGGATACAACGTCACCATTTAACCTGTAACGGACGTTGTATGTCTCTACAAATTTTTTTGTAGATTTCAATTTTTTAAAGAAACCGACATGTATATAAACCTTAAATGTCGTTTTTGAGAAATGCCGTTGATGTATTGTTTCCCGCTATAACAAGACGACGGTGGTTTATATATAAGAGACGTGTAAAGATGAATGAGACGACGGATTTTGGGAATTAAATTACATTTTTATGATTTATTTTCATTTTAGTTCATTTTAATACATTTATATTTTATACAACAACAACAAAAAAAAATTAGAAACAACAATATATTTCATTTGATTTTTTTGATGACTGATCAAATAATTACTAAAAATATGTTTATATACATTGTCAAAAAATTAAAATAAACCTAAACATTTTTAAATAAATGTATATTATCAATTATTGTTTTGTATTTGCTTGTTCACGAATTCTGCCCATTCCAGCCTGACTTCGTCAGTATGTTCTTGAGTATACATAACTGGTTCCTTTTTCTTGTCAAACTGCAAATAAAGAACAAAAACCGACGTGTTACAAGTAATAAAACGACGGTTTTGAAAGCAAACGTCGTGGTATTAAAATAAAGAAATTATATATTAAAGTTTAATTTCTTCTCAAAGCCTAGGCCTGGATCATGAATTATATCTCTCATGAAACGCATCACGTAATAGCCACACTCTACATTTGTTGGTTGTCTAGGAGTGCCTTGTAGATTTTTCCATATGGGTGATTTATGTGATGATTGTTTCCCTGTGTGAGAGTTATACATTTTGATTGACCTGTTTCAAGAAAACAAAAAGTGTTAATGACAAGACTAAAAACCAGCTTCAAAATTATTAATTGTCATGGTAAATAAATGAAGACGACGGTTTTGTAAAACAAATGACGTTGTAGTTTATATCCAACGTCGGAAAATAAGAACCGTCGTCGTGTTTCATTCTAACGTCGGTGACGAAGAAACACGACGTATAACCAAAGTTAATTTTAAATAAAAGTTTAACAGAAAAAATTAAAAAGTCCTAAAATTAAAAACAAAATCGACGTGGTATTTCAATTACGACGACGGTTTCAAGAAAATACTAACGTTGTAAATGATTGAAAACATCGGTTATAATATACCGTCGTTGTGTTTTCACTATAACGTGGTATTGGAAAAAGCCGTCATATCAATCAAATGCAGATATAAAAAATCATAGGTTTTCATTAATAAACTTACGTATTCACTATATTTCTCATGTCCTCGTCAACAAAGCAGTTTGGCAATGAATTCATGTAATAGACAGTCTCCTTAGCTGGTCTCACAATTATTAACACCCAATGACCCCTACACAATATTATCCGTATATATTAAATATACTACAAAAAAATATATTACAAGGAACCAATTAAGTATAGAAGGGGACTAACCCTGGATTATAAGGCACCAAGTAAAATTGATCCCCATCTGCCTTTTTCAGGCTTTCTGAGAGATGTTTTGAGCCGTGAGATAATGTTCCAGATTGAGAGCTGACTTGTCTAGGGTCCATAAGGCCAACAAGTTTTACCATATTTGCCATTTTTAAATAGTCAAATAGGTACCTAATTAAATATATGAAATTCAATTAAATGAGATTTTAATTTAAAAGAAAGAAAATGTAAAAAAACCAAAATTGGATTTCTAGAATTACCTCATGTATACTGCAATCACTGTGGCTCCAATCTCAACCATGATAGCAAACTGTAAAATGTCTTCACTCAAGAGCCAGGTATGATTAGTGCCAAACATTTCCTCAGGCATGTGAACTGTAATGGTCTCGTTAGCAGGCTTCAACTTGGTCTCGACATATTGGCATAGGGCTAACAGAGGAGCTGGCATGTCAGGCTTTGAGAGATCCTGTAACAAGAAATAAATAAAGAAATAAAAGTTAGTGTGTTCATGAACTAAAATAAAAGACTCCAACAAATCAACAAAACCGACGTGGTATATCATATCAATGACGGTTTCTAGAACATACTGACGGGATAAAGGTTATAGACGACAGTAAATACATAACAGTCGTTGTGTAAACGTTATAACGTCGCTACACAATAGAAAGGTCGTCTAGGTTAAACTAGACGGCGGGTTTTAAAATAAACACCGATGTCAATTTAAAATTCAAAATTCTGAAAAAGCAAATGTCAGAGATTTTACCGTTTGATCTTGACGGTTTTCAGTAGCATCAACATTAGCATCATTCATGGGATTGTCTTCATCCAATTCAAGGGCTCTCACATTAGAGCAGCTTGCTTTGTCAGACATTGGATTTTTTGGGCTTTGCTCTTGAGGAATTGGAGTAATTGGAGTAATTGGTGTAGTTGGGGTAGTTGGAATTTTACTGAGCATGTTGGGATCAAAGTTGGGAATTAGTTGACTGAATTGTTTCAACATAATTTCCCTCTCTGCTCTGACTACCTCCATAACCCTTTCCTTATCCCTTTCCTCCATCTTTTTGGTTTCCTCTCTCACTGCAGCCATAACACTTTCCTTCAATTTGTCAGCAAATTTTACTCTTTGTTGTCTCGGCAAATTGAAGAATTGAGTTGGGGAAACCCTAGCTCCAACACCTCTGACCCTCCCACCATGCTTAGGGGTTTCCAAAGCCAAGGTCAAAACATCGTTGCCCCAGAGACAGTCAGAGTGCCCTCGGAGACTTGTTTTTTTTCAAATCATCCTAAAAGTGAGAGAGAGAATGCCAGTGAGTGAACAGATAGTAAAACTGATCAAATAAATAAATTAATAAAAATATTAACCGACGTGGTAAAGATGTTATAATGACAGTTTATTTTAAAAACAGACGCAGAAAATAATTTAATACGTTGTCCCAAAACTACCGTCGTTTTGTATACATTAAAACGTCGGTCCATGAAATAACCGTCGTTTATTTGATAAAAACACTTAAGCAAAATATTCATTGATCCAGAAATAGTGTACAAACCAATTGCAGAGAAATAGAGAGGGAGAGAGTGTGTGTGTGTGTGTGTGTGCGTGTGAATATGAAGAAAGTTCAAAATTTAATTTTAAAAACCTTATACAGAAACACAAAATCGTCGTTGTAATTCAATGAAGACGTCGGTTTTATAAAAATACTGACGTTATATATTTTTAAAAAGGCGGTGTTTAAAAACCGACGTCTTCATTGAATTACAACGATGGTTGATAAAAAGACTGACGTCTGAATGAAAAATAAAACCTTTGTTTTACAAGTTTAGAACAGAGTCAGTGAAACTTACGATTAATTTTGCCTTCTCTGCAACCTTTGGATCAGGGATGTTTCCCTGTTTATCTTCTCTTGCCTTCTTCCATAGCAGAGATCGATCGATTTCTTCACCGGGCATGGTTTCTTCCAATTGATCCTCCAAACCAACGTACCCTTTTCGAGACAACCTATGGTTGTACTGGCATTTCTCCCTTCTCTGTGACTGCTCAGAATGCACAGCCTCAAAATATGGGGATAACCTTGAAGCTACAAAGGCATCCCATTCAGATTTCTCTATGAAGTTATAAAGCTGAGGGGGCTCTTTTAACTTCTCCTTCTCATTTGCGAATGGAAGGATAAACTGCCTAGTTAAGGTAGACTTAAAATCCTTCCATTTTTTGGCGGCAGACGACAGCACCATCTTCTTGCCCCCTTCCCCAACAACATAAGTCATTTGAATAGCTTCCCAAATCTGCTCCTTCATGTCCTTAGGCGATTGAGTCCATTTCTTGTCCACAAGAGGGACTCTGGTACATGCCAAAACACCAATGTAACTCTGCATGCCTTGCCATGTGGTCTGCCACTTTTATTGTACTCAACCACAGGCTTAATCTTCTGAATTTTCCTATTCACAACACAGCTCATTGTCTTGATACCGCGAGTAGATTTCGTCACTTCATCAAATGTCGCAGAGCTTGGGTCTTTCTCGGAAAATGAAGTAAATCTCATCTTCTTTGGGGGGATTGCTTGGAAGAGATTGTGCCTTTGAAACTGCAATGTCCTTGCCATGACCTTTTGATGCCTGAGAATCCTTACTTTGAGATTTCAAAACCATGCTTACAGAGAAATAAAAACTGCAAGAAAAACAATGACGGTTAGATAAAATACAGACGTAAAATGAAAGTTCAAACGACGGACAAAAAACAAAACCGTAGTTCTAATGAACAGAAACGTGGATGTGCTAATACGATGTAGTAATTAACTTAACACGACGGTCATTAAACAAGACCGTCGTCGTATTGTAAATTCATAAAATAATCACCCAGTTTTCTCTCTCCCACGTTCTTCCATTCAGATGACGGTTTAAATAAAACTCGTCATCCTCACATGACCTGTGAGTGCGAACAATGAAAGATTTTGCATTTTCAAACCTAAGTCTTAGTTTCAAACATCAGCGAGAATAGTTCTTTAAATAAAAAAACTTTAAAGGAAGAAAAAAAAGGGAGTGAGAAAGTTTTCAAACCTTTGGCTTGCAAAGAAAGTTTCCTTCGGAATCAAATTTTGGACACGAAGACGAGGAAGAACGTAGAAGTTGAGAGGGAAACTGAGAATCAGAAACGCAGCTTTTCGGAAATGAGAGGGAAAGTGAGAGAAAACTGAAAATTTTAGAGAGAACGTAAAAGTTTAGGTCAGGTGGCCAAAAAGTTTATATAGTGTCCCAAAGATAAATACAACGACGGGGGTCATAAAAACCGCCCTAGTAAGTAGTTACCACGACATTAAAATAATATGAACCGACGTAGTTAGTAAAAAGCCTTTTGACTTTTTGTATTCCGAAAACGATGTAGTCAGTTGGGCGCTAGACGTCAAAAGTTTACTTTTAAATAAATAATATTATAAGTTACCACGTCGTTTTTTAATATTAAACCGACGTGGTTTTCCAAAACCTCGGTTCCTTGAATTTAATAACCGACGTTGTTGGTTGTTTAATACGTCCTCATGTTTATAGAACCGACGTGGATTCTGTTTGTTAAACGTCATTAGTTTTCATATAACCGACATGGAAATGAATTTTTTTTTATAAATTTAGTTTTTTTCCACGATTTCTTTCAGTTTCAGTTTTCAATTAGGGTTCCAACTTCTTCTTACCCTCTGTCTCACCTCTTAGGAGGCAATTGTTTGGATGTTGGTGTCTGTGCATGTTTGTGTATCTGATTCACAAACATGCATACATCACCAACGTTCAAAAAATTATCTATCTGAATGCAGATCTGTGGCTGCCATCATCAAATTTTAGAGGCAAATTTTTGGATGTTGATGTGTGTGTATTTGTGTCTCAATGACACAAATACACACACATCATCAATCTCTAAAATATTATCTCTCTGAATGCAAATCTGTGGCTGCCGTCATTAAATTTTAGAAGCAATTGCTTGGATGTTGATGTGTGTGTGCGTTTGTGTATCTGAAAGACACGAACCCACACACATCATCAACTTCCAAAAAATTGCCTTTCTAAATGCAAATTTGTGTCTTTCTGTGGTCCAATTATGATGAGGAACAGAGTTCCATCTGGTAAGATTTCGTAACTCTTAAGATTCAGATATAATTCTGCTGGCTGTTTTCTATATAAACCGTCATGGTTATTCTCAATTCTTGACATTAAAGTTGATTTACAGACGTAGGATAACAAAATTCAAGAAATAAAAATTTAAAAAAAATTTACAATTAAGACAATGGTTTAGATATAAGGTTGGACGTATAAAGTGAATAAATACGACGTTAATTTTAACTTCACGACGTATATCTTGGATCTCAGAAAAATCTATTTTTTCAGCGGTTTTCTATATAAACCGTCGTGGTTATTCTCAATTCTTGTCACTAAGTTGTTCTACCGTCGTAGAATACCAAAATCTAAGAAATAAATAGTAAAAAATAATGTAATTAAGACGACCGTTTAGGTATAAATGTAGACTTATAAAGTAAATAAATACGACGGTAATTTTAACTTCACGACGTGGTAAATTGTATTACACACTTTAATTAAACAAACCAACATTTATATAGTGTCCCAAAGATAAATACAACGATGATGGTCATAAAAACTGCCCTAGTATGCTGTTACCACGACATTAAAATAATATGAACAAACGTAGTTAGTAAAAAGCCTTTTGACCTTTTGTATTCCGAAAACGACGTGGTTAGTTGGGCACTACACGTCAAAAGTTTACTTTTAAATAAATAATATTATAAGTTACCACGTCGTTTTTTTATATTAAACCGACGTAGTTTGCCAAAACCTCGATGCCCTGAGTTTAATAACGACGTTGTTTTTGTGTTTAATACGTCCTCATTTTTGTAAGAGTCGATGTTGATTACATTGTTAAACGTCATTAGTATTAATGTAACCGACGTGGATATGAATTTTTTTTTTATAAATTGTGTTTTTTTCCGAGTTTTCTTTCAGTTTCAGTTTTCATTTAGGGTTCCAACTTCTTCTTGCCCTCTGTCTCACCTCTTAGGAGGCAATTGTTTGGATGTTGGTGTGTGTGTGTATGTTTGTGTATCTGATTCGCAAACGTGTGTATGTTTGTGTATCTTATTCGCAAACATACATACATCACCAACGTTCAAAAAATTGTCTCTTTGAATGCAAATCTATGTCTGCCATCGTCAAATTTTAGAGGCAAATTTTTGGATGTTGATGTGTGTGTGTATTTGTGTCTCAATTGAGACACAAAGACAAGACACACACATAATCAATCTCCTAAATATTGTCTCTCTGAATGCAAATTTGTGGCTGCCGTCATTAAATTTTAGAGGCAATTGCTTGGATGTTGATGTGTATGTGCGTTTGTGTATCTGAAAGACACGAACACACACACATCATCCACTTCCAAAAAATTACATTTCTAAATGCAAATCTATGTCTTTCTGTGGTCCGATTATGATGAGGAACAGAGTTCCATCTGGTAAGATTTTGTAACTCTTGGGATTCAGATCTGATTCTGTCGGCTGTTTTCTATATAAACTGTCGTGGTTATTCTCAATTCTTGACATTAAGTTGATTTACAGACGTAGGACAACAAAATTCAATAAATAAAAATTAAATAAATAAATTATAATTAAGACAACGGTTTAGATATAAGGTTGGACGTATAAATAAAATAAATACGGCGGTAATTTTAACTTCACGACATGGTAAATTTTATTACACGGCGTTAATTGAACAAACCAACGTGGTTAGAGTTAATGATACCGTCGTAGTATGGAACATGAAATAAGTCGGAAAAATTATATTTTACGTCGTTGTACATGTATTTAAGACGGCGGTATTTTGTAATATACCGCCGTGGATTCTTTTGAAATTGTGTGACACCAGATACGAAAACTTGGTCGTGCTTATTGCAGAGAAAAAACAGCGTCTATTTCTTTAAAACGTCATCTTTTCTTTCTACGTCGATTGATTCATACCTTCTGCTGTTGTTTTTGGGCTCCGAGTTTACTCTGAGGAAATCATTTTTCAATAAGACGTCGCTTTTTAAATTAGGTGTGTCGTGTTTTAAAAACAACCATTGGACTCCTCATTTTTTAGGTGTTTAAGTTATTCTTACACGGCGGGTTTATAAAACCGTCGTCTTTTCAAACACAATGATGATTTTTTGTTAAACTGTCGTTTTTTTATGGTCGTTTTTTTCACTTTTTGTAGTAGTGAATGATTTGATTGAGGACATAACCTAAAGGGGTGATGGGGAACTTCAATCTAAGCAAGGCTCAAAAGAAATCACCACAAGAGGCGTCTTAATCAAAATGCCTGAGTAGACTTATTCACTAACCCAAAATGAAAAAACAAGAAGAGAGGATGGGGAGGAGGGGCAGCGACGCTTCTTCCTCTCTCTTTCTATGGAGTTTTCCTTTGAGTCTCACGGAGAGAGAGAGAGCAGCTAGAGATTCACAGACTATCAATGTAATCTTCTTTTGATAAAAATAAAAAATAAAAAACCGATACAAGTTTATTAGATTGAACATAAAAAAGAATATAAAGGAAAAAATGGTAAAGGAGTCATCCCAATATTAGTACGACATATAATATATGGACAAAACCTTCCCCTAATAACGTGAAGAGAAAGACTATTAAACTAATGTTAAATATCCAAATTATTAAAGTTTTTATTGAGCTTAATAAAGAGCAGCAAGAGGAATTTTTTTCCCCATATGCATGTGATGCCATTTTATTTGAGGATAAGCCAAAAAAGTAAAAAGGAAAACCAATTATTAAGCAATTGTTTAATGTTGACCGAAAAACAATTGTTTAATTGTTTAATTAAACCCTAAACCCTTAATTAATTGTTTAATTAAGCATGTTAGGACAAGGTACCGTACGGAGAGGTACCAAAATTAACTCGGAGAATATAAAACAAAATTTGACCCATTTACGACCAGCGTTTGACAAAATTATACGTGAGCTGAGAACTTTTATTCTTTTTGCCAAACGTGGGCTGAGAATTCACAACCAAGAAAAGAGAGAGACTTCACGAAGAAAACACGCCAGCGCTCGTCTCCTCGTATCCTCCTTGCGCTGGAAATCTCTTCCTGCTAGTTGAAGAGAGTCTCTTCTTCTGTCACCATAAGGTAACCTTCCCTTTCCTATTGATGATAGGACTGTTACCTATGATACCTCACCCCTGAAATTTTGTTTTTGGTCTTCTGGGTTTTCGAAGACCACTGCATTTCTACCTTTTGGCTTGTTCAGTTCATTGTTTCACTATGCTTTTGGTAACAAACTTGTAAATCTTGCCAATCCTTAGAAAAGTTGGAACCTTTTGTTATTTTATTCACTAT